CCCATTTTTTAAAAAAATTATTCATTTTAATGAGAAAAAAAGATAAAATAGCAATGAAACAGTTTCAAAACAGGTTAGTAGGATAACTACAATAGTTAATACATTGCATATTGTTGTCTTTGTAGTAGTTATTCAGAGGACAAGATGCAGACATATCTTGTCTAAACACTATTAGTACAAACCTTTCTTCTCATTGAATGAAGAGAAAGTAGCTGTATATCTATCCTAACTTTTTATATATGTCTATTTTTTCACTGTACAATGGTCCTTTATTTATTTTAATTTTTTTTTATTTTATTTTTTTGCAGAACCAGGGATTGAACTCAGGCCATTGAGCTTGCCAGGGGAGTGCTTATTCTACTGAGCTATCTGCCCCCACCTCGTCTTCTATTTATATCTCCCTTTTTTGTTTTGTTTGTCAGAGATGGGTGTTCCATTGCCTCTAGAGAAGCTGCAGTTGGAGAAGTCTTTAAAGGACCTCTTCATACTTTATGCCAGTCCAAATATTGTAGGTACTTGAATTCAGCAAAATAACCCAATATAGTCAATTAGTCCATAATAGTAGTGAGTTATAAGCACAGCTGGCAATTATCAGAAGTTGTTGGCTTGAGCCTTTTACAGCTCAGCATATTAGGCATTAATGAGAAAGAAGGAGTCAATACAAATGATGTAAAAAGAATATGGGCAGAAGTAATAGCAGAAAACATCCCAAATATGGGGGGAAGATCTGACATTCAGATAAACGAAGCATATAGAACTCCAAATAACATCAACCCAGTTAAAACCACATCCAGACATATAATAATCAAGATCCCAGAAATTCAGCATAAGAACAATATACTAAAAGTCACTAGAGAAAAGAAACAGATCACATTTAAAGGAAAACCCATCAGAATAATGGCAGATTTCTCTTCACAAACCATCAAGTCAGGAAGAGCATGGAGCAAAGTACTACAAGTCTTGCAAGAAAAAAAATTCCAACCCAGACTGATATACTCTTCAAAACTCTCTTTCAAGTTCGGTGGAGAAGTGGAATACTTTCATGACAAAGAACAACTAAAGAATTTCATGATGACAAAGCCAACCCTACACAGACTACTAAAAGATATTCTAGAGAGGGACTAAAATGATCAGAACTCCATGAATGAGAGTGGAAAGAACCCACCAAATAGGGCAAGAATTTTTTTTTTTTTTTGAGACATGGTTTTGCTAAGTTTCTGAGTTGGCCCAAGCTGGGACAGAACTGGTGATCCTCCTTCCTCAGCCTGTTGCAGTGCTGGGATGAGAGGTGTGTTGTTGCTACAACCCTTGGTTTCTGCTAAATTGTTACCAAAGGCAACAGATGGATAAAAGTGAGAGGGGTAAACTGGGCACTGTATTGTGAAGCTCTAATCCTAGCTCTTGAGATATTTAGTTGGAAGATTGTCGGTACAAGGCCAGCCTGAGCAGCTTAGTGAGATGTCTCAATAAAAAAAAGTTTTTTTAAAGGGCTGGAGATGTAGAATCAGTATGAAGACTTTAGGTTAAATCTGCAATACTGAGCACACCCCCCCCCTCCAAAAATAAAAAGGTCTTTTAAGACAGTAGCTAGAAGATCAAGCACAAAGTCATGTTACTGCATTTTTAGAGTTTGGTTTACTTTAATATTATTGTAAAAAATCATTTTGGCATTTTGTAATGCTTTCTTAAATCTTACTGCCTTAACTGAGTTAATTACTAAAATTCATGTTTCTAAATCTGAGAATTATTAGAAAAAGTCCTTAAGTGCTTGTCTGAATATCACATAAAGGACATGTCATGATTAGGAATATAATTATCCTTGTTCATGGATTCTATATTTAAGTCCTTCAAACTGCATATGTAATTATTTCCCTATTATTATTAACTGAAAGCATATGAAAGGATCATTCTAAGTATTTGTTCAACATGAGACAAAGTTGTTCTAATAAGAGTAAGATTTCATTCAAAAGTAAAAAAAAAAAATGTGACGTTTTCACGTATTTTTATGAAGCTGCTGCAGACACCACCATTATTTTCATGAGCTGTTAACCAGTACAGGCCATGTGTGTAAAGCATTTTACTGCCACTTTATAATAAATAGCATACCAATACAGGGTCAGCCATCCACAGAGTCAAGCGTATATCCCCTAGAATGCTGAAGCTACACAAAACCTGTCGGTAATGTTTACATAGGTGTGCATGTTTGCCTGTGTACGGTGTCTATATGCCTCTATGTAGCTATTCAGATTTGACTCAGGTTGTCAAGACTCATTTGGAAAGGCAACTTGTTTCAAAAAGTTTTTCTCTCATTGCCAGTATTATGAGCTCACCATGGGCTCAGAATAGAGGTATAGAATTGGGAGTGTACTACATAAAATGCCTAGGGTACATTTTTGCACTATAAAATAACAAAAGCTAGTTAAGGAGCTCTGGTTCTGCACTTTTAGGTGTGTTACCTAAACTCAGTGTTTCCTTTTAAAACAAGAATAATAATGACACCAAGCTTGCAGATATTTTTGAGAATAAGAAAGTTAAAATATGTAACGGGCTAAGAAGAGTGCTTGTCACGTTGGAGAAATTGCTATTATTCTTACTGCTGCTTCAGTGGGTGTCCTTGACATATGCTGACCACCAAATCTTAAAGCTGTGCCTCTTTTTTTAGTATACATGCTGCTGAATTGAGTGTCTGTGTCTCTTTTTAAATGATTCCAAGCATGCTACAATTTGGTAAACTCATCATTATATATTTCCAACTGAACGGGTGTCATATAAACAGATATAACAGAACAGCATGTAAGGATTGAAAAACTTTCTGGTGACCATGAAGGATTTTAACAATTCGGATACCACAACAGGGACAGTAGTTGGGGGTTAAAAATGTCTGGTAAACAGAGAGAATTCAGCATCTACAGTTTTGTCTTAAAATATACCTGCTACTAACAAATTCACTTTCTGGGGCCTGAAAACAGCAGGCTAATAAATGTCTTTTGCAGATCGTTCTCACTTGGCAGAGCAGGCTCTGTCCATCTGAACTATAATGCTTTTAGTGAATCAGGGGGCCAAAGAAATAACTTCAGTCAGGAAGAATATAAAGGTTTTATGAGAGCAGATTACAGAGAAAGAGCCAACACACGGACCAACCTGCTAAAGGCATCTTTCTCCTCGGATCTGAGTGTGCTGTAAGTGAACAGCATAACTCAGCTCTGGAATGAGCTAAGCTGAAGCTGGTGGGTTAGCAACTCTGTGGGCCCTGGACATTCTGGGGACCATTATTCTTTCTAAAGCCCCCATTGCTTCTGCCCTCTTGGGTCAGCTCTTCAGCCAAAGTTCCTTTTGAGAATTTGATCCACTTTCCTTTTAGAGCTGCCACTTCCACCAGCTGCTTCTCTCATTACCTTACTGTTGGGGCAGAAAAGGCCAGCCCCGGGTTATTCTAATGATAGCAAACACCTCATAAAGAAATCTGCCAAATTTACTTTTCCACAGAACATCATCTTTTTTTTTTTTACAGTGTTTCATGAGTCCATGAGGAAAGAAAGCATCATGTATGAAATATGACTTTCAGAAATCTTGAAAATATTAGGAATTATCCTTGAAGCATTAACTGGCAGGTACACCATCTTCTGAGGGACAGGAAGTCCACTGGGCTGTCACTGAACCCATTTAGCCTCAGGATAGGAGAAGAGCCCCTCAGGAAGTTAAGACGTGTTTTGAAATGTCCTATGTGTAAAAGAACTTTAAGTTTCAAAGTATGTACTTTTTCACATCTGGTTTCATATTTGTATGCAGTGACCTGTTTGGTCTAATTTATAATGCCCTGGTAGACTCGAAGCTTGGTATAAATAATCAACAGTGGGATGTGTGAGCTCTGGCAAGTTTCTTAATCCTTCTGCCCCTCACTTGTGAAACCATAAAGAGTGATATTAACAGTATTGTACTTCACAGGGTTATGGTGACATTAAACACATTCAATTCGTGAAAGCACTTCGAATAGCAGCATATAGTAGGTAAGTGTTACGGGAATGTTTCAGTGAGCTCTTCTTCACATTAAAGTCTCTTTTTCTGCAACAAGTTGCATAGAGATGTAAAATAAATAAATAAATAAAATTAGCAGTGAAGGTTGTGGAGCTTTTTGGAGACAATGGATAATGCTTATCTCAATATTGCAGAAAGCCAGAACGCCAGAAGCCGCTGGTTTGAAGAAGGGCAGCTGGGGGCCCAAGAATCCCTGCTCACCTCTACCCCAAGTAAATCTCTGGACCCAAGGAGAAGCGCTTTCCAAGACAGCAGCAGGAAAGCTGTGCCTGTGCCACCTTTACTCAGACGCCCAAGAGCACCCCACACCTACCCACCTTCAGCTACACCTACGCAGTCGCCACTCCTCTCCTGCCTTGAAGCTGAACTGGATCAACAGCATCGTATGCCTGAAAGCTATCTTCCAGGGGACAGGACACACTGAAGTCTTGGCGACAGGCTTAAAAGCCTGAGGTAACCTCGTTTCCAGATCACGACAGGTGCCTTGACTTTGGGTCCTCCCTTGGCCAAGAGTGTAGCAGGGGTGTCCAGGCAGGGGCCCAGGAGGCGCGGGAACCGCGGTGCGGTGGTGGGTCAGGCTAGTCTCCTCTGGGAATGATGTCCTAAGCTTTGATCTTTCTCATGGGGAGACACACACTGCTTTCTCCAGTGTTGGCGTTTAGGGACATCATTTTAAGTCTCCTTGCAGCCAAAGACTTGCTGCACTCATAAGCAAGCACACACTGCACACTTTTTCCGTGCACCCCATGCCTGCCAAATGGCTACCCGACCAGTGATACATCTGGAGCGCGCACCTGGGAGACCTGGGAGCCGGTTTTAGGCTTCCGGCACAGACTGCTGCTCAGTACCGGCCTAAGCAGTTCTTCCAGGGCGGAACCGCGGCTGAACAGTTACTCAGGGCGGGGCGGGAGACCCGCCTCCTTCCCTGCACCGGCCCCCTGCGCGCCCAGCTTCCGCGTACTCACCTGCAGCTGGTCCTGGCTGGCGTTGCCCGCGGCCTCGCTGGGCCCGTCGGCAGCTCCGGAACCGCGCAGAACCGTGATGTGCAGCGTGAGCAGTAGCAGCCCCAAGATCAGTAGCAACTCGGCCGCCAGGCGCACCATCCTCTTGAGACGCACGGCTTTAGGACCCCGCTGCGCCGCGAGCCGCGGCGGCCCAGGGGGAGGAGGAGTCGGAGTCCCAGGGCCGGGAGGCACGGCCCCTGCCTCGGCCCCAGCCGGGGCCCCGCTCCCCTGGCCTGCAGGACTTGCGCAGGGCGCGGCCAGGCGCGTGGGCCCGGGGGAGCAGGAGCCGCCGGCCCCGCAGCACAGCGGAGCCACCGCTGGGTCGGGGACGTCCAAGCCGGATGCGGAGCAAGCCCCGGCGCTGCCAGGTGGCGGCGGCGAGGCGGACTCCGAATGGCACTGGACCCCGGCTCGGCCCGGGGCCACTCCGCGGGCAGGGGGCTGCGAGGGCGGCGGCGGGACGGATGCAGCCGTGCCCCCGAGCGCACATGGGCGCCCCAGATGTGGCCGCGGGACCGCAGCTGGAGCGGGAGCCGCCGCCAGAGGAGCGCCGAGAGGAGGAGGAGGAGGAGGAGGAGAAGCAGCAGCAGCAGGAGGAGGAGGGCTTCGGCGGCCGCCCGGAGTCACCTCCACGCTTGGGTCCCCCGCCCCCGCCGCCCCGAACCACTCACCCGGCGCGCCACCTCCCGCACGCCGCACTTCTGCGGGCAGCCAGCCTCGCCGCCGCCAGTCACGCCTGGTCCTGGGTGGGCTGGCTCCCGATGGGGGCCCCGGGTACTCGGAGGCTGGCACTGTTTTGGGGTGGCTGGGGCGCCCGATCGGCAGTGCCAACTGAGCGCGACGGAACTTGCTAGGGTCCCCGAGGGCAGAGCCCTCTTGGGCGCACTCAGGCTCGCAGGTCGGGTGAGTGGGGGGCGCCTAGGCGAGTTTGTAAATCTTTATTGGCAAAGTACACCTGGAGTTGTAGTGATGGACAACAGAGCACACGCTGGGCAAGTCTGAGGTCTGAGATTGTGCGCCTCTGCCCGAAGCAGGCGGGTGTATGGGAGAGACAAAGTGTCGCTCCAGAAGGATCTTGCCACTTGCTCCGAATTCCTGGGTTCAGCGGATCGCACGTCCACCACGCACTGTAGAGCCTGGGAAGGGAGGTGAGCCGGGTGCGCCGATGCGTGGGACCTGCGCTCGCGCGGCGCGCAGGTATTGCGGCGGTAAAATGCAGGTCGCGGTGCCAGCAGCTCGGGCGCTCAGGAGGTCTGTGGGACACTAGCGGTGACTCTCAGCTCTGGAAGTCTCAAGTCTGGGGGCTCATCCAGGGGGCGCCGAGTCGGGGGGAGACTTGGAGGCTGCAGTCACGCAGCTGCTGCTCCTGGGCCGCTGCCTCATGACCGCGCTGCAGCCCCGGGCTCCCGCGCGCGGCGCATGCCTTGCTGGGGCAGCGGGCGAAGGGAGGGATCGAGGTGGAGAGGAGGACGTGGGAGCTTCTCTCCGGATGCTAAAAAGCACTAGGTCCAGCTATGGGCGCAGGGCACTGGGGTGGCACTGCGCATTCCCTCGCTCTCGGTCTTGCTCCGCTCTGGCCTTCCCGAAGTGGTTCGGAGTGGCGGGCGCTCTTAGAGGCTGGAGTCTTTTATAGTGCGTTCCCTCCGCCTCCTCCCGGGTTTCCTCCTTCCTCCTCTGCGCCAGCCCAGCCCTTCCCTCCCCCTGAGCCCAGCCCTAGTCTAGGCGTTCGTTTGCACGTGTACATTTCACAACTTTCCAAGCCCCCCTCGCGAGCCCAGACCCCAGTGCCAGCAAGGTGAATCCTCAGAATTAAATTAAATAAAATTTCTTCATTGGCCATGCCTGGCCTCTTCCCATCTGCTTTACCCTATGTTTGCATTTTAAAAGTGGGTGGAACATTCTTAATTCATCTACTTTTCGGCTTCACCTCTTTACGAATGGCATCTCAGGCCAGATTTACTCAAGTCAAGGCAAATTCTTTCACCATTCCTAGAGCTCTTCAGGTCACCCTGGCATTTTACAGAATTTAAATAGCCAGCGGTGTTTAAGGTGCGGTATGCTGCGGAGTTTATTTGTATCCGGCAAAGGAAGGGCTAGCTACCTCTTTAAAGATGCCTGAAGCATCTTTAAAATTCTAACCAGGCCCAGCATCTCATTAATACTTCGGCAGTTATTTCTAGAGTGTGAGATATCTTTTCCCATTCTATGCCACTCTCCTTTCTTCACTGCACGGGGAGAGGGGAGCTGTTTGGAGCGGATGCGTGCTTTGGATCTTTAGGGGCCTGAACTGTCTGGCATCTTATTTTGATCTCCAGGCTTTTAAGATGCCGATAATTGACAACTGGAGCGCTGAGAGGGAGAATTTGAAACAATACCTTGTCCTTGGTTCAGATGGCAGATCAAAGAGGGGGTCCCAGCAGCTTTCAAATCCAGAAAGGATCCTCCTGTGTGTTTTCTAATTAAATTTTCTTAAAGGGTGTGGTGTATGCATGCGTGTGTGCGTGTGTGTAACCAGCACCCAGTGGAATATCTATAAATTAAAATAGCAAAGTAGAATCCCGTGGCCAAAGGCAGCTTAGCCCCTGTTGTGTCAGCCTGTGATGTGGACACTAGAACAGACCACTCTCCTCCTGTCGGCAGCAGGCTGGTCTAAATTAGAATCCAGGGGCCTCTATATCCCGCAACTTTTTTTTTCCACACACAGTCCCTACGTGTGAGCCTCAGTTGTCCTCCCTCTTGTCTAAAAGTCCCATTTTTTGAACCATAGGAAAAATGACTTTAAAAAAACTGCAAAGAAACCCTTGCAATGAATGTAAATTCTTTTAAAAATTGTAAATGGACATTTGGAGATCAAAGTGTTTGTAAAAATGTTGTAAAAATTGTAAATTGAATTTTGGAGGCAGATGTCTTTATTAAATGTTGAACAAATGTATGAATGAATCCCATTAAAGTCCCTCATGCTGGGCAATCCAAATTCCAGGTGAGTTTATGTTCTAGTAAGTGTGCATAAGTAGCACTGATAAACTCTCACGCCCTGAGACTGAGATTGACAAGTGAGACTACCAGCAGGACTCTGCTGTTGAGGGTCAAGGAAACAGAATTATGAAGACAGAATTACAGATTTAATAGCATAAAGAAATTAAATTTCAAACACTTTTTTTTTAAAAATCATGTCTGTAGTTTGTGAAAGTTTAAAAAACCCTGCCGCCTTCAGAATCCCCAGTAGCTCTGCATCCAGGCCTTTATTACTGATCTTGCTGCACTCCTGTAGAATATGTTTCTTTCTTCCCACCACACCTAGACCAGGGTTGCCTTTGGGGTAAAATATTTGAGACCCTACTCCTCTCCTATGATACAGTTTCCTTCTTCCTGAGTCTATAGGTGAGAAACATTTCCAGCCACACTCGGGTCTGTGTGTGTTGCAATTTAGATGTCAAATGTCCCCCAGAAATTGCAAGATAGGCAAGGTGGGAAGGGCCTGGTCATCCTGGATGTGACTTTCAAGGGTGTGCAGAGTTGTCATCATGACTGCTCCCTTCTCTCTGCTTCCTGCTCTCCATGCAGTGAAGAGTTCTCCACAAAGCCATTCTGCTACGCTGTTTCTGCCTTCGAGCCAGCCAGCCTGGACTGAATGTATTGAACCTGTGAGCAAAACTAAGTCTCTCCCCCTTGAAACTGTAGGCCTTGTGCATTGTGTCCCAGTGACAGGAAAGCTTACTATTCCAGTGTGGGACTGTAGGGCTGTGCTGCTTTCAGCTCTGGCTGTAAGGCATCCTGAGTGATGAGCTGTACGCACCTGTCTTCCTTTTCCATGTGACCCATTATTGCTCAAGTGAGAGCTATTAAACCTTGTGTATGTGATGCTCTTTTTCATTCAGAGACACTGTACTTTTAGATGTTTGCTCAGCAACTAGTTTTGCCTGCCCTGACACAGTCTTCACAGGGACATGTGCCACATTATCCTTACATTTCCAGAGTTGAGTCCAATGCTTTACATAAAGTAGTTGCTCAGTTTTTAAAAATGTGTGTAATAAATCTGGTGCTTATATAAACCACACTTAATAAAGTAGCTCTCCTTTAGGTGTCTGACGTGTGAATATTGTTAATTCTTCTGTCTCTTGGTTGCACTGTGCTTTCATAAATTTTGTCTTTATTACACAAATTCCAGTTGCATCACCCCCCAGTTTACTTGACTAGAATATTTAAAGAAATCTTAACTAAAGTCAGAACACCTATAGCTATTATCACTGAAGAGACTAGAGTCTCCTTATGTTCAGAATTTTATTGTTTTTACTTTAAATTTTACTGAAGACTGGTTCAAGACAGCAAAAATAAGGAGAACATACCAAATTTTCACCTACCCATAACTTAGCTTCCATAAAACTCATGGCCAATCTTGTCTTCTATACAGTAGTCCTTACTTGTGTTCTTGTTTTCTGTGGTTTCAGTTTTTGTGGGACCAGCTATGGCATGAAGACATTAAATAGAAAGTTCTAGAAATAAACAATTGATAAATTTTAAATTGTTTACCATTCTGAGTAGCATAATGAAATTTTTGGCATTGTACTACATTCTACTCAGAATGCCAATCACCCCAAGGCTGTGTCCAAACTTCTACACATGCAATAAAGCTAACAGATCACTGGGGTTATAGTTATCTGAGGAGGTCAAGAAACTACATCCAGAGAGATAACTTTCTACCTCATAGAGCAGGGTGGTAATAGTCAAATATAATTGGTTCCTTGAAAGGACTCACGATGATTCTTTCCTGTTAGCCATACTACCTGTCTGTGGTCACTTCATGGTCTTCATGGGTATCAGACTGACTGGCATGGTATTGCAGTGCTTCTGTTAAGTACTTGCATAGTAGCCTGCACTGTGTCACAATCCTTTTTTTCCCCCCATAATTTTATTGAGAAACAAATAGCAATGAGATAGTTTCAAACCGAATTGGTAGGACAGTTTCAATAATTAACACATTGCATACATTCTTCCTAGTGGTTAATTGCTGTACAAGATGTGGACATGATATCCTATTTACAAACACTATTAGAACAAGTTCCTCTATTCATTAAGAGAATGCAACTTCCTAACCACTTTGAATACACAGATACAAAATGGACATTCATCTGTATCCCTTTTTTTTTTG